AGCTCAGTCAGCAGCTTAGACGTCGTTCTCGAGAATTGCGTCGACAAAAGCTTCAGGGTTTCCTCACGGATGCTGCCGAGTGTGCCATGACGTTTGACATGCAGGGCTGGTACAAAAAGATCAATCGCATCTGTCCGCGACACCCAAATCGCAGAATACATATTCACAACAGTAAGGGCCAACCCCTCACTCCTGAAGGTTCTATGGACTCTTTGAAAGCCTACTTCACCGAGCTCTTCGATGATCCCGAGTATCGCGTGTATGCCCTGGACTCGATGACTACTATTCCTTTTACCCTGGATGAACTATGTGATGAACTTTGCAAGCTACCTGCTCATAAGGCCTTGATTCCCACGGCGGCACCGGCACCCATCTGGCGGCAACATGCTCAGACGATCGCTGCCATCCTCTATGCTGAGCTGCAGCAACTGTGGTGCCGAGGTTCATGTTCTCTTCCGGATCGCTGGGTAAATGGCTTTTTGGCCCTGCTCTCAAAGCCGGCCAAACCACCGAATAAACCTGCGCATTTGCGACCCATATGCTTACAGCACCCTGTCAGCAAGGCTCTCTCCGGGGCGATCGTCGCCCAAGCGAGGGCACACGTGAGCCGGGTTTTCGCTGACATGCCATGTTTTGCGTATTTGCCTTTTCGCAGTACCGAACATTGCTTGCAAAGGGTCTTTCAACATTGTGATCATATCCGCGACCTGGTGAAGACCACTCGAGCAAGCAACCGAACTCGCAAGACCAAGCATGCGCTGCAGGGGGGCATTCAAGTGACTCTGGACTTGCAGCAAGCATTTGATCAGGTGAATAGACCCTTTGTGATTTCCTGTATTGATGCCCTTGATTTCCCCCCTGATGTAGCACTGGGCCTCAAGACCAGTCTCCTCTCGGGTGAGTATGAGTTGCAGCACAAAGGGGAGAGATGCAACATTGCGGCGCATCGCGGCATCAAACAAGGAGCTAAAGATGCACCTCTCCTGTGGAATGTTGTCACTCTGGGCACAATTAAACGTATCACGGACAAACTGGGCAAAGATTGGGTCCGCAATCATCAAACCATATTTGCCGATGATACCCACACTGCCTGGACTTGTCACTCCGAAAAGCAGGCCGCGAAGGCGCTCATAGAACTCGGGCAGCTTCTTGAGATACTTGAGACCATGCACTTCAAGGTGAACTATAGCAAATCGGCCATTTTGATTTCCATAGCTGGTACCAAAGCGAATGCTTTTTACAAGAAGTATGTCCGAAGATATAAGGATGGCCCGATTGTGAAATGCGCCTTTTCCGATGGCACTCAGCGCCAGCTGCCATTAGTCAAAAAGATCGGCTATCTCGGTGCCATCATTGATTATGTGCGGTTCGAACATAACACCGTTGATCGCAGGGTTGCCGCTGCTCAATGCACCTTTCAGAGACTCAAGCCGATCTTCGGAGACCGCAAAAACCACACACGACAACACAGGCTTCAGCTTTATGACGCATGCGTTTGGTCCACTCTTACTTATGCTGTACTTGCTGCTGGCGTTGACGCTTATGCTTTGAAGAAGATTCACCAGACAGTAGCCAAGCACATTCGGTACATAGTTCGAAGCCGGGATCACGAGCATCACGAGGCCACTCGAGATCTCTTTCTGAGACTGCAAAGACCTCTTCCCTGGCAGCATCTTCAGGCCATGCTTTTGCAGAGAGCACAACGCACTGCGCAAATCCGCGCGCAGACCTTGGACACTGATATTCTTCATCAGCTTGGAGTGCGTCCACATCCAGCCCTTGCCAGTGCCGAACTTGCAGACCAGATATCAGGCACTACGGCGACCGATGATGCACCTGTGGCGGCTCAGGCACCGCCGACTTTCGATTGTCCTAAATGCCACTTTTGCTGCAAAAGCGCAGTCGCCTTGAAGCGTCACTTACGAGACAAGCACAGCGACGAGTGTGTCACCAGCGATCTTTTTGATCCTCTTCGTGATGCATTTCAGGGCACATCGATATGTTCTCACTGTGGCCTCCAACTACGACATAAAACCAACTTGATGCAGCACATTAACACCAGATCGTGCCCCAAGTTCAATCCCAACCTGAAGCCCTCGATGCCACCGATGGTGCACCAGGACTCCGTTGCGCAGCTTCTACGAGATGGCGGCGCCAGGCGAATTCTCAATCAATCAGATCAATGTGTTCACCTTCGCAGTACATGTGGTCTTTGTGGGCAGCAGTGTGCATTACATGGGTTGCAGAAGCACTTTCACTATAGTCATGTCGAGATTCTCTCCGATGCTAAAACACTTGCTTCCACGATGAGCAACCAACTCATTGTTCCCAAAAGCGGAGGCATATGCAAGTATTGCGGGGAGCGCATGAAGGGCAAGCACCAACATGCATGTGCAGTGATCTTACATGCCGCTGCAATGGAGGTACATTATCATCGCCTTGCGGGGTCCATGTCTCAGGTCGAGGCTCTCACCACGGACGCTCAGGATACGATGACGGCGATGTCACACACCTCGCCTATTCCTGAGCCTTCAGTTACAGCACTACCCTGCGTATGTCCGCATTGTCATCGCAACTTCTCTGGACAGGCGAAGCTTCGCTCACATCTCAAGCATCAGCCCGTCAAGTATAGGTCCAAGTGCCAAGTGATAACTCCTGGCAGCGTTAGATGCAAGCAGTGCAGTGAACAGATGCCAGCATGCCAATTTCCTGCGCATGTTGATGCCAAGCACTCTGGTGATAGCACTCAGCTTACGTTGGATGGCTCGAGGAAGTCTGACAAACCTGCATCTGCCTCTCCAGTGTCTGCTACCAGCAATGTTTGGCAATTCAGGCCTGATGCTCGACCAGTTCGACGATCTGATGCCATCGGAACCGAACGATCAGAGCCATGCGGACCTCATGCAGCACATCGGCCCTCTCTTTGCGACTCAGAGCTTCGGACCTGCCTCAACTTCACCAATTTTGGCAACGCCGACACCTTTTCGCAATCAACAGCAGCCGCAGGGCTCGAAGCGGCAACGAGGACCGCATGGACCTCAGAAAGGCAACATGCTGGCACATTGGGCCGGCCCCGATCAAGGTCCCGATCCCCGCGGACACATGTACCATCAGGCGAACATTCTTCGCATGCTGGCCATACAGATGCAGCGACACGAGGACCAGCTTCGGAGCCTTGCCCTGAGCACGGAAATGATGCTGTTCATGCAGGCTGGACAGGGTACCTACATGCCGCAGATGCTGGAGCTCTCCAGCAAATGGCATCAGCAAATGGAGAACAAGACGGCCACGGCCCCTCTTCGGCTTCAGATGGCGACGGCCTTTTGGCAGGAGCTGGGCAACCGCGCTTTGAAGGTGCAGGAGCAGCTGACGGGCGAGTTCGGACAAGCCCTCATCGCGAAACAAGTGTTGACGTCCGAGGGGGCGTGGACGTATCTTGCGTGGGATCATGCCTCCAAGAGCCTGAAGCGGACAACGGCGACACCAATCGCTATGACCGAGATGTTGCAGACGCTCAAGACCATCGGCGAGCTGGTCCAGTTGCCGCACATGGTTGCACGGTTCCAGGCTCTCAAACCACTCCGAACCGTGGACATGAAGTCCCAGACGGTGATCGTTCCATGGCGGATGGAGATCTCGCTTCGCCACGAACAAGCGTTGCGGTTGTGGACCTTACTTCAGACTTTGAACCACAACGGAGTGATGCAGATCATGTTGACTCAGATGCGGCCGGCCTCCCTGCGTCGGTCCAAGCTCACCGAGCAAATCTTACGAGCGGTCTTTGGCAACCCCAGACGATCCTGAACTTGGCTTTTCATAACAACTGTAACTGTTGCTATATGAATGCTGTAATGTTTGCACACTTGTGGGTGGTTGCCGTATCACTCTCGATTTCGTCTTCGCTTTCTATGCCCTTG